TTATTTGGCTGTTAACTTTTAACTGTTCTGTTACTTTTTCTATGTTTGATTTATGCAAGATTTCTCAATTTCAACTGACTCCTCTAAAAAAGTGATTTTAATAAATCATGAACATAATATTTAACATAAAACATAAAGGACAATTTTGAAAAGCAATCAATTTATTGCATACCATATTTTTCTGTTTATAAGACCACTCAATGTATAAGACGATCCCCCCTTTTCTAACACCAAATTAGAAAAAGCGGGGATCAAAGGGCTCCCTTTTTGCTAAGCCCCATGCCTTCGCAAAAGGCAAGGAAAGTGGCTATAAAAATGACTGCCCCTTTTCCTTGCCTTTTGAGAAGGCACAGAGCTTAGCAAAAAGGAAGAGAGGAATGCCTCCTCTTCTTTTCTGCTAAGCCCCGTTCCTTCGCAAAAGGCAGCAGTAAAGAGCTGCCTTCCGTGTATAAAACAGCCCTCAATGTTCCTCAAATTATTTAAGGAAAAAGTGTTGTTTTACACACAGAAAAATATGGTAATTCAGATTTATACTGCATTACATATACAAATGGTAGTCTGTAAACTTTATTTTCACTGTCTTAAAGAGTACTTATCTAAAGAATTTTTTTTTTGCATTGTCTCCTGGAATTGGCAACAAATTCTTAATCTTGGATTTTGTGACAGGGACATTCATTGCCATGGTTACAGGATTATCAAGATATCTTCATTACAATTTTATAGATGTGTTGAGCATGCAAAAATTATTTCATTAATATAGTTTAACAGCAGGAGCTATTTTAAAAAATGGCACATATTTTATTAAATATTTATTTTTAAAGGAGTAATAATAGCTATGATACATACCAAAGTGATAACCAAATTAAAGGCAGCATTTCTAAAATAGATTTTAACTTAATAATATAGCCTTTTAACCTGAGGTTTTCAAAACTGAATTTCCCTTAAATTAATATACCTAATATTCCAAAGATAGAATTACAAGGTGTTTTTAAAGAGTAGCTTGCACACTTTTACTAATGACACACAAATTTCTCTTGAAAATATATTGCTGTGCTTTTATCTCAAAAGTACTAAATATGAAATGCTTCTCTTCCCTAATTTGGCTGGTGGATCTTGTTGAAGCGCATGGTGACAATATATTTTTTGTTAATTGTTTAACTAAAGAGATAAAACTGAATTTCCTATCTCTTTTTTCCATTAGATATCCAAGGTGATAAATCCGTTTTAATAGTTTAGAATCGAAATAGTCTGTCTGAGGATGTGGGTATCCAGTAGCAAAAATACAGTTTGCTCCACTGTTATTTGCACCTGTGGAAATCAGATTTCCCTGGGTGAAACTGCTGTAACTTTCAAGATACAATTTGCAGGAATCAGCAGGGGTAGATGCAGATCTCCAGCAGCAAAATCTACCTTAAGGTGCTAACAAGTACTAATTGGCAATTTTCACACACCCCTCTCTCTTTTGTTCTCTTAAGTGCCCTAGTGAAAGTTTGCTCCTGTACTAAGTCAAAACCTTTGAAGACTCCCCACCAAAAAAGAAAGAAGGAAAGAAAAAAAGAACAGAACATAAATGGTTTGGAGACTAGGGACACTCATTTAATGGGAACTGACACTGCCATGAGCACTTCTTGGATCAAGGAATCACAATGGCAGAAAACGAACAAAATCAAAACTAAGTTAAACTGTTTGCAACACATTTGCTGCTGGCTGAACAAAAAATGGTATTTCCCTGTCCAGAAAAGATGATTCCACAATGGACTTCCTCACATCAAACTTTATGTTGTATAGTCACAAACCCTCTGCCACCTAACCCAATCCACCTAGAACAGTTAGAGAAAATAAAAAGGCAGGCTTGTATACACTTCTCTTCCCTATAAAGTTACTCCACCTAGAACAGTTAGAGAAAATAAAGCTTGTATACACTTCTCTTCCCTATAAAGTAGATGGTTGTTGCACATCCAATAAGCAAATCTGCATACAGCACTATTAGGGCTAGCATCAAGCAAACCTGCATACAGCACTATTAGGGCTAGCATCTGTCTAAAATGTTGGAACGAAAAAATGCAGAAGTGTGAGGTGAAGACAGAGGCAGTGCTGGAGGCAGAGAGTGAGCCGTCCCCTCACACGTCTGAGGCAGGAGAAAAGGAAGAGACAGTGCCCAGTGTGTCACACAGGGTAGAAGGTCGGATGATAGAGGAAAGAGGGTCAGAGGAAAGAAAAGGGGCAGAGCCAAAGGAAAGGGGAAGGAAGGTGGATGTTTTACTGATGGAGGAATTGAATTTAGACGTGGGAGATACAAAAATAGTAGTCTGGGAGGAAGAGAGAGAGGAAGGAGGTCTTCAAGGTACTGGGAAAGGAGAAATTAAGAAGGGAAAGAAGAAACGTGGGTGAGAGAGGCAAAGTTGTTTCAATAACGGGAATACAATTAGAAGGGTTGGACCAATTAGAATGGACTTTTTTTTAATTTCCCCGTGGGCAAAGTCCCTCGAAGAAGGTAATCTGTCTGGAACCGTTATCAGCCGGTTACAAGCCTTAAGAGGGAGACTGGGCTCAACATCCCTGCTGTGGGACCATCTGTGTGGCAAGGAGTGCTCCCCTGAGGAAGCCAACCGGCCAGGAACGTTTTGGGCCGGTTCTGCACTAAAGGAAAAAAGTTCAGATGTAGGACTAATGTTATCATGGACTGAGTTTCCATTAGAGGTTGCCCATGTTGGCCCCACAGAAGTGGTGGTTGATTCTGCTTTGTTAGCTGTTAAAATTCAGATAAAAGAAATGCGATTCCTATGGCTATTCCTGCAGAAAGAGGGGAACTGCTGGGTCTTTCCACAGAACCTGATCACAAGAAGTCTACATAATTCCTGTCTCCTTATCTTTTGGAAAGCCCCCTAGAATCTTTGGGTTATGTCTCCCACCCTAATAGGTAAGAAAGACGCAACTAAGATTATCTTTTTGAAAGAGTGGAGCTATCATGCCACATGCACACAAACCTCCGTCTGGACTGGAAAATCAAACCAACTTGTCTAAAACTATCAAGAAGACAAATATTTTTTCTCATGGCACAAGTGTTCAAAACAACCAACACTATAAAAACAACATGAAGGACAAAGAGCAATTCTCACAGGGATCCGTGACCATTACCTCACATGTACAATGTAACAAGCCTGAGGTGAGGATGAAAGTGTATTGGAAGAGAATGGAGATACCATTAATATTAATTCATTACAAAAGAGGGGGAGGGAAACCAAGAAAATTTATTATAATGGATTTCTGTTTAGTAAATCACAAAAGATTACTCATGGTTATGGGTAGTGTCTTAATTTTGCTTTTCCAAAGGAAAGATCCATCCTGCCTCCCTGACTGGATTGGAGAACAAAAAAATGCTCCCGATTTTCTCCTGGGCATGGTGGAACAAGGAAAACAAATTGTGCCTAATGAACTGCAATACAATTGTGCCCAATTATAATCACTGAAAGGAATACAATTATCAAATCCAAAAGAAACATTCTATCATACAGTAGTGGAGTTATAAGGCATCTCAAGGAAGTCTTAACCATTGCCCACGTGAGTACAAAATAATCAGATCAGTTTCATTCTCCAATAAGCATATTAACCTTTGAATAAAAGATAGATCAAATGCCTTCTATGTCAGTGGTCCCCAAACTTGGGCCTCCAGATGTTCTTGGGACTTCAACTCCCAGAAATCCTGACCAGCAGAGGTGGTAGTGAAGGCTTCTAGGAGTTGTAGTCCAAGAACATCTGGAGGCCCAAGGTTGGGGACCACTGTTCTATGTGACTCAGAAATTTGTGATAACTTGCAATGTGTCCTATAGATAGGCTCCCCAAGTCACCATAATATTAAACCACTATGTTATGCAGAAAATTTCCTTAATATTGCTGATGCTGAAATATACTTTCTGATTTTGTCACTGTGACGTCCCTCTTCCACGTCACAACGGTCAGGACACTCTCTCATTCACCCTTTATTTACGCTGCCACCAACCACTCCTTCATAAGACTCTTCAGACAAATTGTATGATTTTAAAAATAAAAACTTGTATTTTATTGATAACAACAGAAGGAATGGTAAATCACTTTATCAACTAAAATAAAAAGGCAATCAGTAATAATAAAGTATCCCCTCATACACACTCTCACTCAGACCTTAACTCTAACTCTCCATAACTCTTAACTCTCAACTCCCTAACTAAAAACTGACTCACATCATTCACTCCCCCCCCCTTATATACACAGCTCCACCTCCTGGAGTCCCACCTCCTGCTCTGCTATAGGCAGATGGGTTCCAGCATAACCATGATAGGCAGGTGACGCCATCGCAGCCGTCACAGTCACATTTAGCAAATGTATATTGATGCTCAGATGGTTGCCATGTGTATTTAATCTAAGGACAAATTACTTATAAAACTACTGCAGTGACTGTGCCCCTAATCAAACATGTACTGATGACCCTGAAGGTTTGCATGTTTCAAGTATTTAGTCCTTTGAAATAATAATGTGCCATCCAGCCAATTTTAACTTACAGAAATGCTCCTAGAGTTTTTTATGTAGTCAGAAACAGTTTATCAGTCCCTCCTTCTGGTGTTACTCTAGAACTGTGCAGCTTGCCAAAGGCCACACAAGTGTCAGGGCATATAACCCCACAGTGAGATTTGAACTCCTCTCCCTTGGCTTCACAGTCACATGATCCTATCCACTATGCTACACTGGATTACGATTCTTCAACCATCCTAAATTAATTTCACACCTTGTCTTCCATGAAATTTCCATGGAAAGCTAAGAACAGCTAACCCATTTTCCTGAACTCTCAAAGTCTGGTTAGGATAATAAAAACCACTCTGCACACATGCTGTCTATTACTTCTACTGTGGGTATAAAAGAATGGACATAAAGTATAGGTGACTTCTTGAGACCCATGGAATAAAGAATTAACCTCAATCTTAATGAAGAATGTGGAAAAAAAATACAGCACACTGTTCCAGGAGTTTAAAATATTTAATTAAATGAAGAAGAAATCCTACGGTTTACAGACTGAGATGCTTTATATCTTTTCAATCAATAAGTTATCATAGAGAACTAAATTCAGAATCAGAAAGCAGTTTAAATCACAAAGAACAATATGCTTATTGTTAAAGTACTACATCTTAAATTAGTTTATAAATTTCAGATACCACCCACCCACAAAATTCCATAAACTTAAATATGACAGTTTTACTGCCAAAAGCTTGTTCAAGTTAGCAAAGACACTATCCAGTTCAAGACACTTCCTGCAATTATCACACACCCATTAGCTGGATCAAATAATTTCCTTAAATTCTTTATTGCTGGTAAAGTAATATCAAATGGGATCTGCAAACAGAGAAGACATTAAGTAAACAAAGCAAAAATTATCTCAATTGAATTAGACAGTTAAAACCTGTGTTCAAACATCCCTTGTTAGTAATACTTTATTCAACAGCAGTTCTAGCTGAAGTAGCAAATGAAACAAGTGGGCTATAAACATACCCATTGGCTATCAGGATATATTGGAAAATATCAGTGGCAATAAGATCCTGAGGAGTATAAGACTGATGCAGTTGTGGAAAAGAACTCATTTCAGAAACTTCCAACACATTGAGCCTGCCCTTGATGTGCTGGAGACTATACGTTCCTCATAATTTAAGAAAAGCTGGAAAACAATCCACTCTGTGACAGAGTCTAGTCATTTCCTGCTTCTAAATGCAGGAATTACAGAATTTATGCTCTCTAGATTGACTTAACTATCTTTAGAAGAATCAGCGCTAGCCTTTCTACAGTGGATCGCCATAACAGGTTCTGAGGTTCTATGGGCAGAGTTTCAATTGTAGAAAGCTCACTCTCACTACGTGCTAATGGAAGGGGAGGGTGATTTGGGGCTTATTTATCCCTTGGTTTTAGAGGAACTGCTTGATGGTGGAATTCTCTTTTTCAGAAGATGACACAAAGAACTTTTTCAGTTAAAGAATATTAGAGGATAGGAATTACAGAGGCAGACCTCCAAGATCCAGCAAAAAGTGTGTGCAATCCCTGGCACTCTGGAGTGGTTTAAGAAATCCCAGATTTTCAGTCTGTTGTTTGTTTTTTATAATGTCTAGTTGAGGTTTCAGCCTGTGCTATGGCTTACTGGAGAAGAAACAAGTCAGAGTATTGACTTCTGGTAAACTTAGATGTCATAAGATTAAAAGCCATTGGTTTTCAGCTGCTCCAGAAACGAAGCCAGTACACTGGCTCATGCTTGATAAACCAAGCTTCTAGTAAAACCCTAGCTTACCATGAAGTCTGAACACATAAATTTCGAATGACATGCATGTGCTATGCCAGAAAAAGACCTTATAGGCAACAAGCACGGTACTTATAATTGTGCTAATACAGTCTCATTACACATATCCTTAAAAATATACAGCAATAATGATGGAACATCATGGAAAATGTAAATGTTACAAATCAAAATAGCATACCTCTTTGAGTGGTGGTGATGAATCTGAGTGAATGGACAACAAATCTGTTATTTCTGAGAAACACAGTTTGACCATTTCCTAAATGTATAAAAGAAAATGAATATAAATATTTGTCTTTGTATTGTTTTAATTTATTGCAATTGATAAGAGGGGTTTTGCCCCCAAGCATTCCTGATAGACTGGATGTCTGAATACTGGAAAAGCAGCATCCTTTCCAAGGTACTGGAAAAACAGAAGTACGTTTGCACACGGGCATGTACACACACATAAAGATACAACTGGGAGGCAGGGAGGAGAAGGGAGAGATAGAGAAGCACACTATTCATCCTTCATCTGATCTTATGCCAAGGAGCATAGGGTTGTATTTTCCTTTGGTTGAATTTAGGAGTCAAAGAGAAGGACAAACTGTATGATCCACAGAAGGAAAATATGATCCTGACATGCACAGACATCCACTTCCAGTTAACATAGGTTGTTGTTTTTTTAATTGAGTGAGCAAACCTACTATCAATGATATTTTTCTGTTCCACTTAAGTAGGACCTTTTCATTGGGAAGGATAAAAAACAGAGAAGAGAGCTATGGCAAAGTAGGGAGCCCATTTTGTGGGAGCTCGTTTTATTTTTAAATACCAAATTTAAATGTATTTGGTCCCAAATTGAAATAGAAATTTTTAAAACCATGTTCAGGCCACATACTGTACTTTTCTATGCCTTCAAAGATCACAATGAATGCTCAAGAGGAATGGTGAAGTCACTGACTCACATCAAGAAATAGCTAAGCAGGAACCCAAAATTTTCTTGGCTACCTTACTTCTGCATCCCAATACATCTTTTTTACTCTAGTGAACAACCCTGCACCTCATTTTGCTGATGTATGGCCATGGTTATGAGTCCTCATATCTATTACAGTTATGGTATACCTTCATTTTAAACAACGAATTAGCCCAAGAGTTGAAATAATTATTTTTAAGATCATCCTATAGGAAGTACAGCTATTTTGGTCCTAAACTCAGCTATCCTATCATTTTCTCTGTGGTAAACTCGGGAAGTAAACCAAACTGTCATATTCTGAGGCACTCAGTTTCTGAGAAGTCCATTCCATCAGAATTATGACTCATAATCCAACAGTTGTAAGAGAACAATAAAGACCATGCTGGGCCCTGAGTTCTCGCTTTTTCATTAACACGGAAAAAACAAACAAACCAGATATTCCATGTTGTAATAAAGCATGAGCAAATAGTTTCAAGTCTTGAAGGATTTGGTTATAAAGCTTATGGATTAGGTATCATGCGTTTGATGAGTAACCAATTGAAGAAACTACTACGGCAAAATATATGAAACTGAAATATTAATATAAAACCAGCAATTTCATATACCTTTCTCACTTATAAATATGGACTGATTTCCTCAGATATGTTTCTGTTCTATATTGATACATTCATACACATGAAGAGCCTCTACAGCTCAATAATCAAAATTAAGATGTTGCAATCATGACAACTAAGCCCCAAATGTCTGGATCCACTCAGCTGGCTGCAACACAGTCCTAAGAGTCCTGCAATATCACAGGCACATCAGTGTCAGTGGTCTTGAAAAATTCCACAGTAACTCCAACTAGTCTTTAAAATGAAATACCTTCTGCCATTTAAACATACTGTACTATGTAATTGGCTGAAATATTTGTCAGCCAAGCCACTCAGAATACAGCTTTTCAATAATGAAAGCAAGGAATTGTTGTCTCGGCTGTCACAATATCCATCAGGTGAAATGCCAGCACATGCATCATTAATCATTTATTAGAATAGATATTGAAGAAAAACTGTCACATGATAAATGCCTCCTACTTTGAAAATAAATGTCTACTTTTCCTTGGTATTCATCAAGCAGCAACTGTAGTGACAACGCTCCGCTTCTCTGATATTATCACAAACTTGATCACATGGAAATTTGTGGGCTGTCTCCCTTTTGAGAGGAAGTAGAAAACCTTCTTGGTCTTTTGGCTGAAACCGTCTGATGCATTTTAATCTTTTTTTATTCGAAAATCTTATTCAATATTGTTAATAAAAGTAGGAAATATGATTTATGTTATTTAATTGTATTAAAATCAGTTTAAATTAAATTGGTGCTCATTTGCCATTAAGGAAGGCAAGTTTTAATGAGGATTAATAAACTGAAGTTTAATTGTAACAACAGGTAATCTGCAGCTCCTGAAGAAGGAAAGTAACATTTTTTCTTCTTTGTTTCTTACTCTATTTTTAAAAGGATCCGAAGAGGCAACTTGATGAAGTTGAACTTTCCCAAAGCAACAAGTTTCTTCTTTGTGAAACTCCTGGTATTGCTCCCAGACACTTTGGTGGCAGGCAGAAGTCCCTTTTGCCAACATCATTTAGAATCCTAGCTGTGGCCTTTCCTGGATATGAATATTTTTGGACAACTCTCACAAGCACTGCTGGCAGGGTGTTCAAAGAGTTGTAGTCCGAAAAGTGAGATTTTTCTGAGCTCTTATGGTCACTTCGCATATTGATTCAGTCTGCTGCTATTTATATTTTTGATGTTAATAACATTTATAATTGCGTTCTATGGAGAGCTCAAAAGCTACTTTAATAGAAGTAACTGTAAAGTTATACAGTGGTGCCTCGTCGTCGTCTAGTTGTTTAGTCGTGTCCGACTCTTCGTGACCCCATGGACCAGAGCACGCCAGGCCCTCCTATCTTCCACTGCCTCCTGGAGTTGGGTCAAATTCATGTTGGTAGCTTCGATGACACTGTCCAACCATCTCATCCTCTGTCGTCCCCTTCTCCTCTTGACTTCACAGTTTCCCAACATCAAGGTCTTTTCCAAGCAGTCTTCTCTTCTCATGAGATGGCCAAAGTACTGGAGCCTCAGCTTCAGGATCTATCCTTCCAGTCAGCACTCAGGCTTGATTTCCCTTAGAATGGATAGGTTTGTTCTCCTTGCAGTCCAGAGGACTCTCAAGAGCCTCCTCCAGCACCACAATTCAAAGGCATCAATTCTTGGGCAGTCAGCTTTCTTTATCGTCCAGCTCGCACTTCTATACATCACTACAGGAAAAACCATAGCTTTGACTATTCAGACTTTTGTTGGCAAGGTGATGTCTCTGCTTTTTAAGATACTGTCAAGGTTTGTCATCACTTTCCTCCCAAGATGCAGGCGTCTTTTAATTTTGTGGCTGCTATCATCATCTGCAGTGATCATAGAGCCCAAGAAAGTAAAATCTGTCACTGCCTCCATATCCATCCCTTCTATTTCCCAGGAGGTGATGGGACCAGTGGCCATTATGTTAGGGTTTTTTTATGTTGAGTTTCAGACCGTTTTTTGCCTCACTTGATGTTAATCCGTTCTAGCGAAATCGCTGTACAGCGAAATCGTCGTCAAGCAAAATAAAAAAGCCCATTGAAATGCACTGAAAACTGTTCAATGCGTTCCAATGGGTAAAATACCTGCTCGTCCAGCGAAGATCCTCCATAGGGCAGCCATTTTCTGCTCCCTGTATAGCGAAAAATCCATCCTAAAAACAGCGGGGAGCCATTTTGCACAGTGGGCGGCCATTTTGGAAACCCGACGATCAGCTGTTTTGATCGTCATAAAGTGAAAAATCAGTTCCCAAAGCAGGGAACCGATCATTGTAAGGCCGTTTTTTCCCATTAGAACATCATTTTGCGATCGCAAAAGCGATCGCAAAAACCTAACCATCAAGTGGATTCGTTGTTTAACGAGGTAATCGTTAAGCGAGGCACCACTGTAATTGTGCTGTAAAATGGGTGAAGTTAGTCCTAGTTAAGTTAAAACTGGAATGCCACATCCTATGCCTTACTTACTGCAAAAAGGCATTAATCACAAATAACTATTCATAGATAGTCATTTCTAAGCTCTGATTTTAAGCTGTACACACTTACCTGGGAATAAACCTTACTGATTCCATGGGACTTAATTTTGTAGGGCTGCCCTCAATGCACTGTGTGTATCACATAAATACAGTTCTTTACTGTTTCTGATGTTGAGAGGTAGATATGGATTTTTCTGTAGCCAAAATATGGCCACACACACACTAGAGCAGGGGTTTTAAACTCAATTTACCTGGGGGCCACTAGAGGCAGAGTCTGGGTGAGGCTGAGCTGCATCAGATTTTCCGCCAAGTGGAGCAAGAGCCCAAGGAAGCCGCCCAGGAGTTTCCTTAGCCGACAGACAGGTGGGGTGGCTGGCAGGCTGCAATTCTGGATGGAGGGTGCAAGAGGTGCTGTCTTGGGATAGAGCCAGCAAGTGAGACAAGGCTTTTTTTCCTCTTGACAGCAGAGGATGTGTGGGCGCTTTGGGGGGGGCAGGCAAGGCGAGGGCCACAAACTATCATCTGGGGGGCCGCAAATGGCCCCCGGGCCGCATATTTGAGACCCCTGCACTAGAGGAAGATACCAGAAGGCTTGCAAGAAACCCAATATTGGTAGAAAAGACAATCATTGGAGGAAGGGGGCAAAATTATCCCAATTCTGACTAATTGTTAGGAGTTTACCTTTCAAAAGTGAAAATGTAAAAATATCTGTTGACAAAGTACATACACTTAAATTCATACTTATTTTACTACCTATGTGATGTTTGTGAGGAATGCAAAGCACGTGTAAAGAAGGAAATCAGTAGAATGTGAGGGGTGCAGCCTTTAACAAAAAAATTCCTATTTCCTACTCCCTGTTCCTCCCTAAAATGTGTTAAGGGGGGGGAGATAAGTGCTTTAAAAATCCCTTTAATTTTTTTTTAAAACATAGCCAGCTCAAAAGTCTATAATTTAGCATTTAAACTTGTATTTCCTTATTACAAATATATTTTAAAGAAATGACTTTTGAATAGATGAGCTGATTGCAAAATCATGTCTGTATATCTGCACAATATTGACATTGACTGTAAATGTAAAAAAAGAAAAAACGCCACTAGAAGCCCTGCTATGCTGCAGAAATCTATGCAGTAGTTGGGTGGAGATGCTATTCCAGAACCACCCTTCTCTCTGCTTAGGTAAAGTAAGACAGGGTAGCATTAGATTTTCTTATTTTCTAGTCTGGCTCTTTCATATTATGTAATTGTGTACCCACAATTCTTTTGGATCTAGAACTGTCTTCCTATGTTTTGAAATACCCTTTTATTTTCCTTTTCTTTTAAAATAAACTTCACAAATTCTTTCAAGCCATTGTCTAAAGAGGGAACATGTACTAATTTCTCCAGTCCTGGCCTCAGTTAAGGTACAGAATTGGCAATATTGATGTCAACGGGAGCTGGTGGCAGCCTATTGTAGTTGTTAAGTCTTGGGGCATGCAGTCCATGCAGGTGCAAAACATGGTGGGGTTGACAGGATCCCAGTCAGAGCTCATAGCACTCATTCCTCCTGCTCCATTTGGGCACTCCCACCCAGAGCAAGGGGAAGGTAGCATAAAAAGAGTGGCTAAAGGAAAGAGCTTGAGTCCCAGGATCCATGACAATATGTATTGGGCTCCAGAGCAAATCCAGCCTGAACTTTCTCTGGAAGCAAAAATAACAAAACTGAGGCTGTCATACTTTGGGCGCATCATGAAAAAGGAAGACTTTTGGAAAAGACAATAGTGCCAGGAAAAGGTGAAGGCTGCAAAAAAAGAGAAAGACTAAATACGTGACTACGCAAAAGCCTTTGACTGTGTGGATCACAGCAAACTATGGCAAGTTCTTAAAGAAATGGGAGTGCCTGGTCACCTTATCTATCTACTGAGAAATCTATATGTGGGACAGGAAACAACAGTTAGAACTGGATATGGAACAATTGATTGGTTCAAAATTAGGAAAGGAGTACAACAAGGCTATATATTGTCTCCCCGCTTATTTAACTTGCGTGCAGAACACATCATGTGAAAGGTTGGACTGGATGAATCCCAAGATGGAATTAAGATTGCCAGAAGAAATATGAACAACCTCAGATATGCAGATGATACCACTCTGATGGCAGAAAGTGAGGAGGAATTAAAGAACCTCTTAATGAAGGCGAAAGAGTGCAAAAAATGCGCTTTCTTGGGCTCCGTGATTACTGCCAATGATGATATCAGCCACGAAATTAAAAGATGCCTGCTTCTTGGGAGGAAAGCAATGACAAACCTAGACAGCATCTTAAAAGGCAGAGACATCACCTTGCTGACAAAGGTCCGCATAGTCAAAGCTATGGTTTTTCCAGTAGCGATGTATGGAAGTGAGAGCTGGACCATAGAGAAGGCTGACAGCCGAAGAATTGATGCTTTTGAATTGTGGTCCTGGAGGAGACTCTTGAGGGTCCCCTGGACTGCAAGGAAAACAAACCTATCCATTCTGAAGGAAATCAACCCTGAGTGCTCACTGGAAGGATAGATCCTGAAACTGAGGCTTCAATACTTTGGCTATCTCATCAGAAGAGAAGACTTCCTGGAAAAGCCCCTGATGTTAGGAAAGAGTGAAGGCAAGAGGAGAAGGGGACGATAGAGGACGAGATGGCTGGACAGTGTCATTGAAGCTACCAACATGTATTTGGACCAACTTCGGGAGGCAGTGGAAGAAAGGAGAGCCTGGCGTGCGCTGGTCCATGGGGTCACAAAGAGTCGGACACGACTTTATGACTAAACAACAATAACAAAAAAATACATGAAAAAAACACAAAACAATACTCTATAAAAAAGCCACAGCCTTGACTTTACCAGAACAGAGCACAGCTGTTGAGGAAAGGTCATTTTGGAAGAACTCATTCACAGTGTTGCCACAAGCTGGAGGCAAGTTGATTGCACATAACAATAACATATAAGAACATATAACAGAGAAAATTTGCTGAAAGAAAGGTGGAAGAAAACAAATTCATTATTATTATTATTAGGGTGTATAAGAAGAAGTTCAATGCAGTTTTGGATAAGAGAACAATAAAAGAAGAGGAAGAATATAAATGGAAGAAGAAGATTATAGCAAGAGGTCCTGTCTATGGTGGTGGGGAACACAGTTATATTGTATTTTGATTTGTGTATTTTATGTCTATGTTTTAAATAAAAATCTAAAAAATAAAATAAATTTAAAAAAACAGAGGCCAAGTGGCCACCGATAAGGGAAAGGTGTATAAGAAGAGCCAATTTTTGACTTGAAGTAGATAAAAGACCACTCTCATGTGGAATTTTTCTTTTTCAATAAACTTTACAGCACCACAATTAATACCACACCTATGACCTATACAGTAATTGCCTTCTAAACCATTTGAATTGATGTACCTTTGCTTTTTTATCTAGTGGCACCTTTGCCGTATTGGATTTGGATCCTGTTGAAGGGACTTCTTTTGGTACTTCAGATGCTGTCTGAGGAATCATCATTGACTGAATTAACAATTCAATGTGTTGTTTCAGATCAGACAACTTTTCCCGTACAGCAATAACTCTAAAAGAAGACAAAGAAGTTAGCACTATACAATAGCATTTTAGATATTATACTGGTATGAAGTAAAATTTACTTCCTTTAGTAATAAAATTCATTTTAGACTTGAATCTCCCTTTTTATTGCCTGCTATATGAGAATGCCTTTCTATCATTACAGTAGTTGTGTTTTTGTATGCCTGTGGTCACCAGGAATGCTTGTAAGAGTCATAGGAGCAACAAGGGCAACTGGGAAGTCAGGAAGAAGGACCAGTAGCAATGAAGTCCAGGATGGATCTGAACAGAGCATTAGTAAGAGCTAGGCTGATATAAACGGGGATGAAGCTTTTGGATTCAAAATAAAATATGACACGCCTATGAAGCAAGGAATAGAGAAGAAGGGGGAAAGAGAAGATTAAGAAAAAGAACATGTGGCAGGCAGAAAAAGTGGTCGATGACTGGTGTGCTTGCAAAAAGTTGGAGGCAGAAAAAGATAGAGTATCTAGCTGGCAGCAGAAATGGAATCCCAAAGGGTTTAAACCTAAGAGAAAAGGTATTACTCAAGAGCCCTAGGAGAATGCACTTACTCCTCAGGTTCTATTCCATAGCTCCTCTGGAACAATGGAAGTGACATCACCACCAGCGGCACATTACTACTAATTGAAGTTTCTACTTCAATTTTCGGTTATGCATGACATCATCTCATTGCACACAGGCTGCACATAGGAACTCTTTAATTAGAGGCAATCTGACCCTGCTGGTGATATAATTTCTGTTTGTCAGTGGACCTACAGATCACTATATTGGTCCATGCTTGCAGGGTGAGCATGAACACTTACCCAAAGGTAAGAGCGGAGGTGCTCTCTCCTTATATATGTTAGAGTGCATATTCCATTTGTCTTGTATATGAAAATGTGCTATGGAATCTTATAATGGGGAGCTGCTGACACTTAGCCCTGAAATGACGATTGCTTAATTGCATGGCACAGCATTTAAAGACCAGAAATTATGTGCACCAAAACAATTGTACAGGACTTGCTGATGGAGCAGATTTTTTTTTCTCCTGCTGAATCTGCAAGACACATCATGGTCAGTTAGCTCTATCTAAATGTACGAACAGGGGTACTGCCTTCAATCATCTGTTGTGTTTTTCTAGCAATGCAGATCAAGCTTATGAACATGTCAAGCTTCTGCAGTAGAAAGAAACTGTTCCTCCAAGATAGTGTTTACTCATTCCTCCAGATCAGTCTCATCAGTCTACCCCTGCTTTTCCATTTTCCACCTGTAAGAGGATTTCTGACATCTGATTTTCAATCTGAATTTATATGTGTTCTGCTTTGCAGGACATTATTTCCTAGTTGATAAATGATTTCTCTTTTGGATATGTATTGGCTGGAATTTAAGGTTTTGTGGAATATAAGGACTAGGATTTGTGTTTTGTGTTTTCTGCTAAAAGATGGGACTCTGATCTTGACAAGTGCTTTTTAAACATTAAAAACTGGTTATTCTGTCTGTGGCATTTGCATATTTATACAAATTATTGACAGCATCCTATCAAAACATCTTTCCATATACAATATAAGATGCAGCAAATGAATGAATATGTGATTAATTTACCTGTTTAATGGAATCCATAAATAACCACAATATACATTGGCTGAATTGAAAGATTTGATGTTGGTGATTTTGACTGGTTTTTTATTGTAAGCAAAAATGAACAAAACCTACAATAAAAAAGGAATATACAAGACATAAAACAACCGCTATTTCAACCATCATCATCATTACAACTATATACAATAGAACCCCCATACAGTATCTACTGGGGATTGATTCCAAGCCCCATCCCACCCTGTTGATACTGAAAACTGTGGATGATATTGAATGCTATTATATTTAAAATGCTAAAAGGAAAAAAAACAGAAAACATTATTTTCACAAGCATTACCAGAACTGGCCACTACAGGGTCCCAGAGACCATGCTATATATTCTTTGCTAACAAGTATTCATAGCACAGCCTTTCACTTCCTCTAGTGGCAGGTTCTGTTGATACATGTAAAATGGTGTTTTTTCTGGATTTTTTTCTTTTAATAATTTTAATATTTTCAAATTGTAAATAAGTGAATCAATGAATACCAATCCCATGGATAAGGGGGTCCTACTGTATCCTTGTTCTTTTTGTTTCTTTTCAGTTACCTCAGCTGAACAAGCCTATGATTCGAAGTGGCTTGCTAGGATACCCTTCCTGAATCATGAGGTTCCAAGTGACTTAGTTTAGTCATTCTTGTATGGCTGTTATTGAGTAAATATTTTGATACAAAATAATTTGCTTAGAAAGGAATGTGGCATCAAGTACAAGACAGGAGGGCCTGGTGTGCTCTGGTCCATGGGGTCACGAAGAGTTGGACATGACTAAACAACAACAACAACAACAACAACAACAACAACAACCAGTATTCTTTGTAAACATGCTTTATGGTAAAGGAAAACACCAATTTCATTTTCATACCATAGTCTCTCCTTCTTCTGATGATTCTTCCAAAGATGGAAGGTACCACTGCACACAAAGTTCCCTGATGGGAGTACTGGTCGCCTTGTTTTCTGCATATAAGTTTATCTCAGAACTGCAAGTAATACTAGAGGTTATTCCCCCTAGTGATGTTCTTGGAGACTCTGCAGGTGTGTCTTGCTGCTAAAAATATAAATAATGAAACATAAAATTATTATTAAATAGTTCATCATAATATAATACACTATAATATAGTGTGTTCAAGTAATATATTCAAGGTACTTTTCCTATCCATCCTTATCAGCTATTTGAATCCCTCTCAAATATTTTATTTTGCTTCCTTAGAGATTCCGTCATCCCTAGCCTTAGTTCACACGCAAAGCAAAAGCGCAACTCTGACTGGCGCAAATCTAGAACAAAGGGTTTAAGACCTGGAGCATACTGCAGTTCCTTGAGTTAGATTGAGGCCCAGGGCTAGTAACCCAGCCATGAAGATGAGACAGATTACAAGCACTGGACTGGAACAACTGGTAGAGTTTTATAGCCAATATGGGAGAGTCATGGGAGGTTCAACTCGTAATGTGCTATGCCCAGCAGCAGCTGACTTTTGTGTTTGTGTGAACTCTGCATGGAGAATTCTATCAAGGAGCATGCCTGATTAATTAAATCTAAATTAGGTGCATGCTGGTGATAACGATCCTAATCTAAATTAGGATCTCCACCACCAGGGTTGGGACTACTGTTGGAAATCTGGCAGTGACTTTTTACTACTACAGGCTCCCCCATCCCAACCCCCATCCTTAGGCTCCCAAAGCATCCCCAAGGCAAAAGGGAGCTGCTGTAGGAGGTTTAGAACCTTAAAGGAGGTTCCTAATGGGAAGCTTTCAGTTACTGTACCTTACATTTAATGTTCCAGCAACCAATCGAGATTACACTACACAAAGATGCACTACAGTATAGGATTTTACACATTATGTACTGCATTTGTTATGACCGGGTGTGTATATGTTTTATATGCATATTATGTGTATAATTTATTGTGATTTTGTGTTTCTAATTAAATTACAAGCTTTTCTACATTTATAGCCTTTCAATAATATCTGGAGCCGCATGTTCTGTGCTCCTAACCTAGATAACACTTTTTAGGAGCTCCACTTGACAGTTAAATCTATGACCTTAATTTATTGAAAATGAAACGTCGCCTTCGACAAGACCATGTTTGTTTGTTTGTTTGTTTGTTTATCGCCTTCGACAAGACCATGCTTGTTTGTTTTTATTTCTATCCCGCCCATCTAGACCAAAGGTCTACTCTCAAAGGTCTACAATCAAATAGTCATTTGATTGGTCCACAGTAAGAGTCTTTAATATCAAGCTGTACTAGGAAAATGTACATAGTGAAGAGATAGGAGCCACTGTATGTGACAGAATCCTACCCTCCCACCCCCAATTCCATTACAAAGGTGACAGGATGGGGACTTTAAGATATGGTCTAATTTTGCTCTTCTTCATCTATACTTTCCTCTTCCATCTCCACCTTGCCTTTTTGTAATACTGTGCTTGATGAGGAATTCAACACCGATTCTGCACACAATTCTGTACCTTTTTTAAAAAGTTGGCCTAATAAAGGTACCACTTTGATCTGGAATTTGGATATTTGGTTTTGTTCATTGGTCTGCACTGCTACCTCTACATTTTACAGTTACATTCTATGTCAATATTGTGCAGATATACAGACATGATTTTGCAATCAGCTCATCTATTCAAAAGTCATTTCTTTAAAATTTATTTGTAATAAGGAAAAACAAGTTTAAATATAAATTATAGACATTAAATAATCACAAATTTACTTCTACATTTAGATATATAGATATGAAATGCAAATTTCTAGAAACACAGGTTTCTACATTCATGGATAGATAATGCCCATATAATAACTGTTAAGATTGTAAACCTAAGATATTTGGTTGGCTGTAATTCTTCGAGCAATCAATAAGAATTACCTTACTCTCACTGGGGTGGGATGGGAAATGGTGGCTTAGATGAATTCCTCTCCTTAGAGAATTATCCCCCACTCTAATGATTCAACAGATTCAAAATGTGGCTATCTGATTTCTAAATTGGAGCTGTCAATCAGATTATATCAACTTCATAATATGCCTTTACTGATTGCCAAGTCATTTCTGGGTTCAATCCAAGGGGATCACTGTGGCCTTTGAAATCTTATATGGCTTAGGACAAAAAATATTAGGAAAAGTCAACATACCCAACAGTATTTTTATCTTCTAAAAAGAAACTGGCTTTTCCCAGTTTCCCCAGCCATGCCAGCAGAAATATGTTAGGTGGATGTGAGGGTCCGCTATTCTTTGCCTCCCCCGTCCCAAATAAAGCTGTAGACGCATTTGAAAAAAACAATTTGTCTTCTTTATTTAACTGAGGTAAAGGGATAGAAATGTCAATCAACTTGGGAATGAACTTCTCCTGCTGAAGTAACGGATCATACAGGGGCACCTAATCTTCGTCAAACGGGTTACTTGACTTCGACGCCCACGGACCAGCCTGAACCCGTGAGGGTCCTTCGGGTTCGAAGTCCTCTCGATCGGTCGTCAATAACAGGATCGTCTTCTCGAGCCCTGCATATCCCCAGGGTATGGGGTTGTCTGACCAGGGGTGCTCCCAGGGTCCGGGCAATACCCCAGTCTCCTCAGCTCCTCCAGATGCCATCTGGTCTTCTCCTCTTTCTCTTGCTCTGTTCTTTTCCTCTCTTCCACTAACTTTCGGCGCCACTCTCGGGTCTCTCTTTCTCCCCAATAAGAGGGTCGGACCCTAGCCTCATTCCTCCTTCTTTCCTCCGCTTCTTGCCTGGTGAGGCACACCTGTTCCCACTTGCCCGACCAGGGGTCTTGGATGGACACCCATTCCCATCCACCTTCTTCCCCCTCTCGTCTGTGTCTGACCTCCCCCACAGCTCCCTCCCCCTGCTCCTTAGCTCCTCTTCCCGCCCAAACCAGTGGAGTCCGGGTAGCTATATTTAACCCTTTCAGTCCCCGTTCCAAGTCCACGGTGTCAACGGACTGGTGTAACATCCGGGGTGGGAACGGCTTGGGAGCTGTCTGAGTGCCCACGGAGGCTTTAGGGCGAGACGGCACTCCCAGCATCACCTCACGACCCGGGGTACGGGTGTCACAGTGGAGTCTGAAACAGCTTGCCAAGGGAAGTCTATGTGGCACTAATACTGAACATGCAAACCTTTATGGGAGGCCATCCTTGCTGTTTTATGCTTTATTGCATTTTTCATCTTTTTAAGATTCCTGTTATTTTATTGATGTATAATAGCTGCTATTGTACATTATTTCATTTTGGCATCTCTTTTTGTAGAAAGGCAAGGTATAAATGCTGGGGGGAAATGCACATTAAAATTTTTAAGTAACATTTAAATATTACATTACCTTCTCAAGAACAGTCATACTATAGCAAGGCTTTTCAAAATCATACAGTTGTTTTGGAGGCTCCTGAAGGCAGCAGCCTGAATATACAGGCAAATAGTTTTTCAAGAAAGAATGTAGTTCTGCTAAGCGCAGGGTAATTGTTGTGTCGAATACTGACGTGAACAATATATCTTCTTTAACAAATAAGCCCTCACCTGCTTTTGGAACAGCTGTGGGAAAATATGATGTTTCATTATTTCTATTTCAGTCTTTTAAACAGGGAAAGATCCATAATATACAGAAGCATCATAGAGACAGCTGGATAGCTCAGTGGTTTAGGTATCCAGCTGCGGACCCAGAGGCTGGGAGTTTGATGCTCCACTGGGCCTCTCTGACAAGACCTGACCTTGATGATACATAGGGTCATCCCTTCCAGTTGTGCAGTTCTAAGATGATGATGATGGTGATTAATCAAAAACACCAGGCACAATCAAAACTATAAAAACAATGACAGGTAAGAGTTTTAACCAAAAATCTAAGTATCTGTTAAATATCGGCACAGTATGTATGCTGTTCCTAATATTGCTGTAGCAATGGACTCCCTAGTGTTTCAGACGGGGTCCTTGGCAGTATTGTTTGGAGGTGCTCGGGACTTGAACCTAGGACCTTTGTACGCAAAGTGTATGGCCTTTCAGGGAGTTGCTATCACTCCACCGTCCTTCATAAACATTTAGAAGAAGAACAACCCTGTCCTGTTCAACAGTGGACCAGACTTACTGGAACTGACAAACGCTCCTTTGGTGGATGCATTAGCTGTGGATTCTTATACTGGAGTGGACTAAATGATACTTGGGATTAATTTCAATTCTACAATTCATATTCTCCTGTCAAGTCTCTAGTAAAACAATTTTGTATAGCTCTTCAAGCTCGAATCAAAGCTCCAGACGTTTAAATTAGATATGTATACATTTTTGTGTGACTATTTTTATATATTGGATCACACCATGGAAGGTACAAAAACAATTAAACTCTGACAATTGATCTATTTGTCTCCCCAGTGGCAAAACTATTTTTCCAGAAGAACAATTTTACAAGGTATTGCTTTTTTAAAAATGTGAAAATGAAGGAGTAAATCCACTTCTTTAAAAAAGTACAGTTTCTCTTATGAAGGAAATCAGGATGCACACATGCATGTACAGAGAGAGAGAGAGAGAAAAGAGAAGGGGGGGCTAAACTATCTTCTTATCATTGATTTTATAAAATGATCAAGTTATTGGCACTAGCTGTTTTCATTGTTGCAGGTAAATAATCATCTCAACATAGCATAATTGATCCAAGAGACATTAGCCGTCCACAACAGAAATATTTCTTACCAACCAGGGGGCTCATGTTCAAGAGTCTGGTTAAGTAAGTATTGTACCGAATTACATGGACCCAAGGTATCTTCAATTTTCCCTGGCTTTCATCAGAAGAAACACTTTCAGTTCCATCACTTTCTGATCTTTCTTGTTGTGCAGAAGGCATCACAGGAACTTTATATCTAACTTCATATCCATCTGGAATTAAAAAGCATTTTCAACATCATTCTAGCTCTCAGTAAACTGCAGAAATACCATGTCACCAAGTATTAGTCTTGAAGTTACATAAAGGGCATGAAACTCGGCTAATTGTACTTCAAGAGTTCAGTCCAGACACTTTGAGCTATACTAGGTTCATTCTTTCTGAGGACTAACTGGTTGAATGAAGAAAGGAATGAAAATAGTAGGCAAGGAGAACAATCTTTGCCCAAATATGGCAATGTGCATACAATTTGAGAAAGGAAAAATGGCATTGAATAAATACGTATGCATATAGATTGGATTATAAACTGGCAAGGAGTTTAGGAGACTCTTCAAAAGACTTTAAAGAGAAGATGAGATTTAAGGAAGGATTTATCTACACTAATTTGACCAAATTAAAAAAAACCTACTCTGTAGCCAATTCAGTCTAATTTTTATACAGACAAACCATAAAGCATTCCAACCCAATAAAGGTACTAGATTTATCCCCTACTCCCACAGCATATTTGTTTGTTATCTTCTTTTTTGGAATAACATGCTGACAAGCGTGTTTGAGTTCATTTAATAGGTGAGGTGTGTTGTGCTTGTTTCACTAGGAGAGAAACATCCTTTGTTTATCTGTGGGTGTTCATGTACATGTTTATTTGTGTTTCATCTCTCAGTCTCTTTCCCTTTCTTTCTTCTCCACACATACACACCTAATATGGCATCAGTAGCCACTACAAAGCCCTCCCTTTTAACCACTATTGCTGTTACATGCTTCATAAGAACATGCAAATCAGTCTACTTGATGTCCTGCCCATTTGATGTCCTGAAAGTAATAGCAAACTCCCTCCTGTATACTGTCCTTTATTAAGAATTCAACATGTAAAGTATTGCCAAGGCTAAGTGACTACAGGCTCCTCCTTTTTGCCCTTTTTGAAAATAGGAAAAACATTAGCCATTCTCCAATCATCCAGCACTTCACCTATCCTCTATGATTTCAAGAAAATAATAGTGAGGTACAATCCATCCCTTGGCAGCAGTCCATCTTCCAGGGTAAGCCCATGGCCCCAAAAGAAAGGGCTATGCATTTGTGGGATTTATGAGCAAGAGCAATCCTTCCATCACACTCCAGGGAGACAGCATACTTCTCAGCATATTTCAGTTTCAATCCCACACAGTAGGAAGTCTCCTAGTACAACTACTCTTCTCTTCTTATTTTTGGAAGGTGTGGGTTCAGTGACTCTGCTTGCCTCAGCTTCAGCCTCAATCATGTCCTCCTGAGGGGTCTCCTGTATGTCTTCCTCTGCATGCAGGTCTGCAGACACCTCTCCAGAAATCTGAAAGTGTTTTTGTGATTTCACCTGTGAAGAGTGTCATTCTCCTCCTGTTTTCTCTTGCTACTCTTCCACTTCTAATGACTCCCTTGGCTGCTGTTGCACAAGAGTTCTGTCCATGTAGTCTCTTCATCTTCTCTTATAGATTTAAGCGTGGCCACTCTGCTCCTGTTTTTTTCAATTTTTTCCCCTTCCAACTGTGCTACCAGTTTGCACCTGCTGCATCTGTATGCTGTGTTGTTCTCAGGCACAAAGACAAACATCTCACACACTTTTCAGGTCACTGTCAATAAAGTGTCTTTTCCCTCCATAATCCCTCTTACCTTTTCACTTTCTTTTGTTTGCTTATGACTGCTCTTTCCTTTGCCTTGTCTGCCTTAAAAGATGCTGGGAAACTGCACTAATATATAACTATACCCAGAAACCTAAAGCTTTATTCGGGACCTTCTCCTTCAAGCTCCTTTTAGATCTCCCTAGTAGTTCACTCTCTGGGGTCTCAGTTTTTTATACAGTATATGACATTCAGGGTCCTCTGATTATTTCTCTCTGCGAGTACAAGTGTCATGTTTGCAGTGTGCAAAACTGAAACCTGTATTTAATACATATGCAAGGTATACAGTGGTGCCCCACTTGACGATTACCCCGCTCCATGACAAATCTGCTTTACGATGGGTTTTTTGGGATCGCTTTTGGGATCGCAAAATGTTGTTTCAAAGGGCGATTTTCGCTTCATGATGATCGGTTTTCTGCTGCGGGAACCAATTCTTCACATTACGACGATCTAAAAACAGCTGATCGTCGGGTTTCAAAATGCCCACCTGCTGTGCGAAATGGCTCCCCGTTGTGTTTAGGATGGATTCCTAGCTTAACAGGCACCGGAAAATGGCTGCCCTATGGAGGATCTTCGCTGGACGATGAGGTATTTCACCCATTAGAACGCATTAACCGTTTTTAATGCATTCCAATGGGTTTTTTACTTTCGCTTGACGACGATTTCATTGTATAGTGATTTTGCTGGAACGGATTATCGTCATCAAGTAAAGCACCACTGTAATAGATATTTATAACTTTTATTTAAAAAATCAGCTAGCATTTCTACAGTTTCACTATACAAACCATAATCTATTTGAGAATTCTTCATTTGGCAGCACAGTTCCATTTCTTATGCAATCTACTTACTATTTCATTTCCCTATCCACGTCAAGTGTTCTGTATTACTGAAATGTAATGGTCCTTGTATTATGGGCAACCACCTGCAAAATTTGGTATTAGAAGCACATTTGCCTTTTCCCTATGCCATTTGGCAATAATTATTTATAGATAACAAGTGTGTTAGTTGGACTATTTCAATCAAGAAGGTTCTCACAGAACATTTTAACTGATATCTGAGAGGAATGTGGTACAAAGAGGATTATTTAAATTACATTTTGCTTCTTGAAGACAGTAGGAGAGACTTTCCTACATTCACTAAGGAACAAGAGGAACTATCTTCTGTCATCCTTGCATAACTTTTTTCAGTCACTTTAGGGGGGGTAGCCATGCACACATTAATTTTCCTATCCAATAATATTAATAAGCAAATAACAGCTAAAATAGTAATATGCAAATACCACATAAAAAATCCTTGTAGGAAGAACTGAGGTCCAGAAGAGCAAATTCTGGCATGTTTTGTAGTATTCTGTGTCTCACATGATATAATTTAACAGCCTTCTTTCCAGTTAACTGTTGAGAAGCCAGAATACTTTCACTGACCTGGAATTAAGATGTATTTAATCAGATCAAGCTCACTATAGCATGCACTCTTTTAAAAACTTGAAATCACAAAACTAGGAACAAAAATCAAACCCAACCTCCCCCACCACCAAAAAATTAAGAATGGTTCATGGATTGAGTGGAGAGTATTTCACACAAAAATCCCCCCCAGACATGAGCCACTTATGCCCCCATATATTGTATGATTGTAAAAATGTTCAATGCTCTTCTGATATATCACAATTTGTGATGTTAATTATTCCGCAAGCAATTTAAAAGCAAATTAAAACAGCCATAATTGCATGCATTGCACATGTGATAAATGTAAGATACATGACAGTATATACTTCACTTATTGTAGAACAGTGTAACTACAGGAGTTTTATGCATACTTTCTATTGCCTTTAATAATCTAGGTCAATTTATATGTGCATAAAACCCTGGAGTTCAGGCTTATACTTTTTTAATCTACTAACAATGACCATTAGCACTACTTCCATCACCAGCTTTATGGCACTCTGGACACCACAATACAAACAAAGTGACAAGAATCAGTATAGTGTATGGCTGGGGCATTGAGATGAGGGCTTTGGCCAGTCATATGCTCTCATCCTGGACTACCTAAAAGGATTGTTGTGAAGCTCAAGTGGGATAGAAGAGAAGAATTCACCACTTTGTGATTTAGGAAATAAATAAAACAAAGAAACTTACAATCCACTTCTACATTTCTAGCTGCCTAGAGTGGTCGAAATGACTAGATAGGCGGGGTATAAATACAATAAATAAATAAATAAATCAATAAATAAATAAATAAATAAATAAATAAATAAATTTCCCATTTCCTGTTGTTTCCAAAACAATTTCTAAGATTGTAATTACAGACTGAAGTGAATTATTCTCAAATTAGATTGTAGTGATCTAGTATGGCTCAATCTCCACTCGTTCCCTACTAATTTAAGCCACCAGTTTTTATAGCACTACATGAAGGACCACCTCCTTTCATTCTCAATATGTGAGATCCAGTTGCATATCCCCCAACTGCTGCACAGAACAGGGCCTTTTCAATCTCTTTTTCATAATATAAAGTATAAAATGCTTGATTTTTTTAAAACAGAGGTCAATAGTTATAATGATGAAACAAAGATACATCAAGAATATAAAGATGCATTAATTAACAAAAACCCCACAAACCTGTGCAGCAGCCCGCACTGCAATCCAGGCCTGCACTCTGTACATTTCCAGTGCTGTAATTTCTTCAGAACTAACACGGTGTCTACTGGCAGGCTAAATTTAAAGGAAAAAAAAGATTCACATTAGCAAGAAATTGTAAGCAAGCAATGGAAAAGCACCACACAATTTTTACATCACACAACCTGCTATCAATTCTATAATTATTTAATTTGGAAGGGACACCCATTTTTTTACTTATGTTGGAGCTAGTAGCTTTTATGTTGCAATAAATTTGCAATAAATTTCAGAAACAGGCAAGCAAGTAGATCAGAGATGGAGAACACATAGCCTTCAACCTATTTCTGGGCCTCAGCTCTCATCCCTTTTCCCCAGTGACTATGCCAGCTTGAGCTGTGTGGAAGAGCAGTAAAACAACAGATGGAAGGCCATACATTCCCCATCTTGAAAATAGAACAAGAGGCTCTTTCATTCCAAGTATCTGCACAAGCCACACAGAAGTGTTACACTACTTTATGTTTCTGTAGTATATCACCATTAGCTTCATGGAATGAAAATGAGTGACAGGATATTCAAACCCATTCTTATTCATACAGCTCTAGGGATCACTCTCAATTAATCTGGATCCATTATTGAACACATTCTTTAGTGTCCATGAATTACAATAGTCTTCCCTAGTTTAATTCCTTAGATATTCAACCATTAAATCTTAACAGTATTAAATTGGGCACGAATCTTTAAATAAGGCAACAGAATTTCAATTCTTCCTTTTAAAGAGTTACTAAGCCTACATGAGAGCTTTGTTGGCATATGGTCATGATGATTCAGGAGATCTAATTTCTACATTATATACTAGGCCCCCCATCTGTAGGATCAGTATCCGCTGATTCACTTACCTGCTGCCTGAAAATACTAAATAAAAGAAACCCAGAAATACAAATGCATTTCCAGGGTGTATTTAGCAAAGCTGTCCACTAGAGGGAGCCAGAGACCATGTGATACATCGCATTCAATATTTCTTCATTTTTTGGCATCCATGGGGGGAGGAGCTTGGAACCAATCCCCCCACGGATAACATGGTTCTACTGCACACAACAATTTGTGTATTGCAGGAATCAATAGGAGCATCACAAAAGTGTCCTCATCAGTGAATCTGTAGAAACCCAGAAACACAAATGCATTTCCAGGGTGTATTTAGCAAAGCTGGCCACTAGAGGGAACCAGAGACCATGTGATACATCGCATTCAATATTTCTTCATTTTTTGGCATCCATGGGGGGAGGAGCTTGGAACCAATCCCCCCACGGATAACATGGCTCTACTGCACACAACAATTTGTGTATTGCAGGAATCAATAGGAGCATCACAAAAGTGTCCTCATCAGTGAATCTGTGTCCTACTTTTCTATGACGAAACCATGTTCAAAGTAGCATTCAAAGTAATGTTTAAAGCAATATTAGAAAGTTTCAGGTTCCTAAACTGAACAACAACAACAACAACAACAACAACAACAACTGCACATCGATAAAAAGAGTCATGAATAGGCTAAATATCTCACACAATAAACATGCCATTCAATAGCAGTTCACAAAAAAGAAATATAGTAGAAAAATAATAACAGTGTGTGAGAGAGATCCAAATAAAAGCTAAAATAATATATTTCTTTCCAAAGCTAAATGCTGACCCAACGACAGACACTGAAAAAGATTTCACCACCATGGCCTGTAGACACCTTCAGCACCAGCATCAACTGCCCCTAGTGTTTTTGTAAAATCCTATTCTGCTGCTTCATGTGCACAATAGTGGCAAATTATCATGATTAAAGGCTTCTTTTTGTGATTTTTGGGTATACAAGAATTCACCATATTATATACAAGTCACCTGCACTCTGAAATCGCCTTTAACCAGCAACAATTAGCCTTAAAATCAGCAGCAATTTGCCAATGATGATGATGAAATTCCCATTACTCACACAGAGCTGTACAACATGATTTCAGCAAGAGTCTGTCAGGACTCTGTCTTCCTAGGCCAGGTAGAAGCAAGCTAGATAAGAGCACTGCTTCCTGAATTTCTTTCTTAGCACTAAAGTTACTGTGTGATCATATTCTTTATTCATGAAACTTGTACATACCCTTGGTTTAAATATTCTTCCCTTCAGTGTGCTTGAGGTTAGGAACTCTTCCTTGTTTGTAATTAGAAAGAAATATTGCAATGCGATCTCCATGTAAGCTCTTCTTATCAAGCTGCAAAAAGACAGTAATACAAACTCACCTTATGACAGCATTTAAACACATATTCTTCAGTAGCAATTGGATTTTCGAATCATATAAGTTGAACCTGTTACTTTGTAAATTATACATCTTCTAAACAGAATAGCTTTTAAAAAGCCACAGAATCCAGCAAGCATTATTTCAGCACAGAACTCCTCATCACAAAAAGAGCGCATGGGGGGGTAGAGACTTGAGTCTAAACTCCATTTTAAAGTCTGGCTGGTTGGCTGGCTGCATCTACAACTGCCACAGCCCCTCACAGAATATTTTCTGATTTTAAAACAGACTTTAGAGCCACATTTTAACAACACACAATTTAAAACTAAAATCCACACTGCAAGACCCATCAGAGCACAGAAACATAACCCCCCACCTAGCCCTAGCCCCCCACCAAGCTGCAAAAAACCCTGTACAGTACAGTAAATACACTGTACTCACTCAGAACAGGCAGTCTCTCTGTTTTAAAAAAGTCAAAAACCAAAAAATCCAAAATTAAAAAAAAAAAACCAAAAAATACAGTCAGTACTGTACAGTACCAAGCAATACCAGGCAGTACCAGGAAGTCTGAAGTCTCTTTCCATATCCACACTCTCTAACCACTGGGGCGAGCGAGGTAGCAGACAAGCAGCCTCTTTGCTGCCCAACGGTTAACTGAAAGTTCAAATTTCCCGCCTTCCCCACTTTGTTCTGTTCATAAGTAAAAGCTCCGTTCGCAAGTGTAGAAGCAAATTTCTGCGAATGGAGCTAATCATAAATTGAAATGTTCGTAGGTAGGGACGTTCATAAGTAGAGGTTCCACTGCACCTCCATGCGAATTTGTTTAGCTTTTCATTTGTTTGGTTATTATATTTCTTTATGGATTTATTTTTTAAAAAAAATAGACACTTTTCCCCCCTGAAGAAACACAAAACCTTTCAAATGATAAATTTTACATAAACTAAGCAAATAAAAAAATTGGAAAACAACCTGGAGAAAATACAAACACACAAAAAAGAAAAACCAAATTATAATGTACTCTAAAACTGGTCTCAGTCTGGCACTGAGGAAAGCAGGTCAGGAAAAGGATAGATTAATGTACGTAAACCCTCCAAGGTTTCATCATCATACTGGCTACAGATGAAATATTTCTGGAAATCCTGAAGCCATGCTGGCAGGACATCTTTTAGGACAAACTGAAATATATGCAGCACTGCTTTCTTATCAGCAGTTACTTTCTTGTCAATGTAAATTTATTTTACTACTTTAAGGCTGCGATGTCATCCTGATAGCCTGGTTTACCAGTTCATTGAAAAATACAAGTTGATCCAAACAAAAAAGAAAAAGCAAAGAAAATGAAGGTGCCAAAAGAAAGAAATCCTAGGTATTTATTATATGTTCAGTACTTTTCATTCTCCCAAGTCTTTGTAATAACTTATAGTCTATGAGATTCTCTGCTTAAAATCTTTTTCTTAACTATTATTTAGCTTTGATTGCTTTAATTTTTAAAAATTCCATTTTTTTTCTGACCTGTCCACAAAACATATACATGTAAGTATATATTCATATAAGTGAATAAATTAAACAAACAAATAAATCCAAATTTAAAAAAAGAACTGCTAACGGAAATACGAGAGCAAGCTGAAATTATGTACATTTATTTGTTGTTGTTGTTGTTGTTTAGTCATTAAGTAGTGTCCAACTCTTTGTGATCCCATGTACCAGAACACGCCAGGCCGTCCTGTCTTCCACTGCCTCCCAGGGTTTCATCAAATTCATGTTGGTAGCTTCGGTAACACTGTCCAACCATCTCGGCCTCTATGGTCCCCTTCTTCTCTTGCCTTCACACTTTCCCAACATCAAAGTCTTTTCCAGGGAGTCTTCTCTTCCCATAAGATGGCCAAAGTATTGGAGCCTCACATTCAGGATCTTCCTTCCAGTGAACACTCAGGGTTGATTTCCTTCAGAATGGATAGGTTTGTTCTGCAGGCAGTCCAGGGGACTCTCAAGAGCCTCTTCCAGCAACACAATTCAAAAGCATCAATTCTTCGCGGATCAGCCTTCTTTATGGTCCATCTCTCACTTCTGTACATCACTACTGGAAAAACGATAGCTTTGACTATGCGGACCTTTGTCGGCAAGGTGATGTCTCTGTTTTTTAAGATGCTGTCTCGGTTTGTCATAGCTTTCCTCCCAAGAAGCAGCCATCTTTTAATTTCATGGCTGGTGTCACCATCTGCAGTGATTATGGAGCCCAGGAAAGTAAAATCTGTCACTGCCTCCATATCTTCCCCTTCTATTTGCC